GATCAGCGGCTGGTGGTGCTGGACATCACCGTCACTAACATGCCCTCTGACCCTCTTTACCCCGAGGAGGACGGCGACGATGCTCATGCTGCTCAGCTTATCATCTCCCTGCCAAACACACTGTCGTACGCCGGCTCCAGGATCCCAGAGCAGGTGTGAGATCTGCTAAATATAGTCTCAGACTATCGTTTAAGAGTTGATGACGTGTTCCTCTGATAGTATTTGTCTGATCTGACTGCAGATGAGATGTCAAGCAAACCAGAACGGCTCCCAGGTTGAATGCGACCTGGGAAACCCCGTCAAACGAAACTCTAAAGTAAGACAAAACTGTGTGTTTATTGTTAAACTCGACAAAAGAAGCAAAAATATATTTTAAAAAACTTTATTCTCATGTTTTTTCCCTCAGCTGAAATTTTCCATCAGTCTGAGCACAGCTAACATCACTATTGAGACCACCGAGCTGACAGCTGAGCTCTCGCTGAAAACGTAAGTTTTCTACATTTTCCCTGATATGTGACAACAAAGATCACATTCTCACTTTCATCTGAGTTCTTTCATCGTTTTGTCCTCAGCATCAGCGAACAGCCTGACTTGGTCCCTGTGACAGCTTACGCTAAAGTTGTGATAGAGCTCCCCCTGTCTGTCAGTGGGTGAGTAACACCTTCAGTCTATTAAAGGAGTCTGTGGCAGTAAAGCTGCTTTATGTAGGTCTACTAAAACACCCTCACATGCTTTATGGTTGGTAAAATCATTTCATTCCACATTATCTGTCACATAAATTTGATCAGCTTGTTCCAACTCTTCGCTGAAGCTGTGTTTTTTTCCACACTGAGGTTCAAGATTTAAAACCAGGACTTCATGTGTTTATGGCTGCACCATTATAACAAGTGGAAATATGCTCACTTTATACCTCTCTAACCAGAGAATGACCTTTTGAAGTGAGAAAACTATTATTAGAATTTAAAATGAAACCACATGTATTTTAATAATATTTAGCTCATTTATTAAAAGGTTTTTAAATTCAATTATGAATGCTTCGCTTTAAGCTTTAAGTCTTGCTCATCAATAAAAGTGGTTGAATAGTGAGGAAATAGACAGTAATGTAATGACAGTAATGTTAAGTTCTGACACACTGATGGTCACTGTACTTTCTGTATTAGGCGCGTAAATCCCGACAAGCTGTTCTTCAGCGGTGCAGTGAGGGGCGAGAGTGCTATGAGCAGTCTGGACGACATCGGCAGCGCTGTGGATTTTGAGTTTGTGGTGAGAAAAGAGTTTGT